ACGCTCAATCATTAATTTATCAGGAAGCAGGTGAAACGTTCCCTTCTCCTGCTGTAAAAGACCACAGAGGGAAGATGTCTCAGTGGTATTTCTTCTATTTCATCTGTCAGGCACTAAACTCAATAGTATTAAGGACTAGAGCAAAATAAGAAAATGCAGCACTGGAACAACTGCAATAATGACTCACAGAGTGGCCATAGGTAGAAGTTTTCAAACCAAGACTCCAAGTCAAGCCTTTAACGACCAGCTCCAGCCCTACAGAAAGTCCCAGACTTGATGCAGAAATCCCTCAGCAGACGTGTAAGGCCAGTGCTCCACAAGAGATCCAAAGAGACACTTATGAGGGTTATAACAGCAAATTCCCATCGATCGGACTCTGTGCATGTGCTAGTTGCTCCCAGAGCTCTGGCTGAGAAGAAGCTGGAAAGTGAGTCTTGCACTTCTCCTTTCCTGTTGCCTTCTCCTGCCTTGTTCTGTGCAAAGCCAGCTCGCCAGCCCGCTGCTGCCCGTTCTGGCCTCAGTCCTCCCCAGCCTGCTAGTCCTCACACTCTCATTCCTAAAAATATAGAGATACTGCACTGACGCTCTCCCAGTTTTCAGTCTTCGGGAAACTCGAGGCTACCCACGCCATATTAAAGCTCGCCGCTTTCTTGTGGGAGCCCCAGAGGATTCCCACCAGGTCTGGGCTAGCCTCCTCTTGCGAACTGCTGCTGACATCTAGCAGCTCCACCTGACTCCCCGCTCTCGGATCAAAGGTCTTCCCACCCTTCCCACCAGGTCGGCAGGCGCAAAGCGCGCACTTTCACAAAGGAACTGTCCTAAATTCCTGAGAGGTGAAAGAGACCTAATGACACGGCTGAAGGACTTTATGAAAATGCCTCTGGAAGGCCCCCAGGGTTGTACAGACTCAGCTCCTAAGACGCTGTGATGTTGTTTGTGGACCGGCAAGTTGGGATGCGTCTGGAAAGCCTGAGAAGGCAACTTGTGATAAACAGCTCCCCGGCAGAAAACAGCCTGGAAACAACCCACATATTAAAGAGCTGCAAATTATGGAGCTGCAAACCTAGGGCTGGAAACTACATTTCCATGAGATTTCCATATTTCTTTGTGCTAATGAGACACACCTAGGAAGCTTATGAGTTCAAATAACTGAATGAAAATAGGAAGGAAAGCTTAACTTATTTTTTAAGGTCTTCAGAAGGATTACTTAATTTTACCTTAGCTTAACCAGTGCACCCATTTCCTGAAGACAAAGAGGAAAAGAGCAAGGAAGAGGGCACGCGTGTGCCAGGCAAGGATCCCGGGCAGAGGTGCGTGCCCCAGGCCTCCCCAGAGGGAGGTGGGTCTAAGGGACAAAGCCACAGGCCCACAGGGGACCGAGGCAGCTCAGCAGAGCAGGAGCCATCCTCGCTGCAGTAACTGCCGCGATAGGCACGTAGACATCCTCCACTCCCACAACGAGTAAGTCACTCCATGTTTCTGCCTGCATTATTCTGATGTGCTAAAATGATAACTGTGGAGCAGAGGAAGGAATGTGCGCTCACTCAGAAAAGCTGCTTGCTGCAGACATCTGTTGGGAAACTCCTGCGGAATCATACGCAGCACAGGCAAAGCTTCAAGCGATGCAGCATTACATCAGTTTCGGTTCATTCTTACCACCACACCCTGACTCCAATTATGTTCTCCAGTCCTAGTAAAGAAATCCAGGTATTCCTTCCTATACACAACAACTTTATTAGAGTTTTTACCTATTCTGAGCTTTGCTCCTTTGTATTTAGGGGCTGATCGGAGCACGGCTTGGATGGCAGGGCAGGCTGACTTCCAGGCACTGCAGCCTGCTACAGGAGACCCGGGTTCAACTGCAGACTCTGCCTGAGGCGTGCTCTTTGTCTGTGAGTAAATCACTGAGCAAGTCTCTCCACACCTCTGTCTCCAGACTGCTGGAGATACCAGCGGAATGCTGCTGATAAGTAACATCCAAGGATGCAGAGATAAGGGGAGGCATCTTTTCAACAGGAAGAAAAAGAATAAGAGCAATAAGATGACGGGCAAATCCCTGAATACTGGGATAGTTCAGTCCTTCACTAAGTGGGCTGATTTGCTTGCCATAATATAGCTATTCCTGACGCAGAATGAGGGTTTGAGCACGAGTCTGGCTCGTTTGTTCCCTGGTGAAGCAGAGCTGGAGAATTTCTTACAGCGAGTGCTTAGTTTCGGAAAGCTGTGGGACGCCTGCCTCTTGCTCAACAGTGAGCAGAAACAGCTTCTCCCTGGAGAGGCCATTGCTCTTGAGTCTGAGCAAAACATCTCACGGAAATTAGCTTAGCCCGAATTTTGATGTCAGAAGAGTGAAAGGATTCTTACCTTTTAATTTCTCTGCCTAGCAAAGATCTGGACACCTTAGTGACAGAGAAGGACCTCTGCTTTGCCCTTCAGGCACCTCTGAGCCAGCGCAGAGCTGTGCTGGGCAGCGACGGCGCTGTCAGCTCTCTCAGCAATTCTGTCGTTACATTTCCTGAGACACTAGTCCCAAGCCTCTTATTCGAAGGCAGCACACTCTGACGGAGAACTTGCCCACAGGATGTTTCCAGTCCCATTCACCCACCCTTCCCCAGCAGCAGCCACTCTCCATAATGACAAAAACTGCAGCAATATCTCGCACTCAACAACAGGAAACATTTAAAGCACTTTTACCTGACTTTACACTCTCCACATAAAGAAACAGAACCTTTGTGAATTACTGGAAAGCCACGATCTTACACGAAGAACCTTTCATCCATGTCCCTTAAAGGATCATTCCACGGTCTCACTTGTCTTGCACCGAGTGTCCTGGATTTGTCATTCTGCCCATGGAGAGACTTAAAGGTTAATCTCCGTGCCTCTGATCTTTCCACAGAGTTCTTACATCATTCCTCATACATCATTCGAGAGTCAAACTCCATAGTTATTCCTTCTTTTTCATCTTACATAGTCCAACATCAGCACCTTGCACGAAAACTGCTTGTTCAACTCCAAATAAAATGAAAATAAATTAACGAGAGATAAAGAGCTCTTTGATGCAATAACCTTTAATGATTTCTTCCTGGTATATAATTTGGGACAGTGTTTTTCCTGGCTTAATGTTGTAAAGTTTGCATCATAAACAAAAAGCTGATGATTCATAAAACATTATTGCTAATGTATTTTTGAAATTAGCAAGAGACATGTAAAGTATCTTCCTTGTCTACCAGGATTCTTGAAAGGAAACTTCCCTTTGAGAAATTATTCTTGGCACCAATGGCAAGAGTAGCCAGCCTTATGGGAAGAAGAAACAGCGGTGACACCCACTGTGGAAGGTATAAATAGAGTCCCGCGGCCACGGCCAGCTCGCAGTCTGATTTAAGATCAAGCTGTGCATCTTGCTTTGGGCTTCTGCTTGCATTTCCAGCTGCTGTCGCCATGAGTTGCAACATTAAGGAGACTATTACGGTGTCTAGCAAAGGCAGGAGCAGTGGTGGCAGCTGTATCATTGGTGGTGGTGGTGGAGCACGGATTTCTTCCTATGGGATAGGCAGTGGCAGAGGTTTTTCTGGAAGGAGCTACTGCGGTGGAGTGAACTATGGCGGGGGACTGAGTGTTGGTAGCTTGGCTGGTGGGAGCTATGGAGGTGGCAACTGCTACGGCAATGGCCTGGGCTTCGGCCTCGGCGGCGGTGTGGTGGTTGGTGGTCTCGGTGGCGACTGTTTGCTTTCGTCCTGCGATGAGAAGGTCACCATGCAAAATCTCAATGACCGGCTGGCCTCCTATCTGGACAAGGTGAAGTGCCTGGAGAAGGAGAATGCTGAACTGGAGTGCAGGATCAGGGAGTGGTACGCGACACAGGGCCTCTCCTGTGAGCCCCGCGACTACAGCTGCTATTACAAAGAAATCGAAGATCTTCAAAATCAGGTAATCTCCTGTCCCGAGGTCCCTCCCCTCTTTAAAGCTTACTCCTGCATTTGTACTTAGAGTCTCTGCCACCAGTCGAGGTAACTTCGGTGCTGCTAAACGTCTTTGCAAACAGAAATTTTGTCAAGCTCCCCTATGACACTGTTGAGTGGCGGTGCTATCAGAGATGCACGCTGCCAGGGCATACAGGTGGGATGATAACCTGAAAAAGGAAAAGGATGCTTTGTTACGTTGTTTGTGTTTTGACTCTACAGCTGTAAATATGATATTACCAAGTGTGCTCTGAGGAACTGTAGTGGTGCCAGCCCCGTAGGAAAAGCAAAGCAAAGAGAACTACAGAACAAGAGCAGAACATACACATCAAATGCTGTATCAAACAAGCATTATAAATTCTAGATGAGAAAAGCTGAGCATTTAAAACAGCTTGATACTAATGTGTCCACAGTGACAGTTATGGCTGATCTTAAAGATACCTTCCGACTATCTGTCCTGATGATCCTTAAGCCTGAAGCCCCGAACGTGCCAGCTTGAATGTCAGTTGAGACTTAAAGTCCTAAGGAAGGTTCTTCAGGTTCGCTTCTTTGTGAAGCGTCTTTGGAACTTGCCTTCAGATCTTGAACCTGGCGAGTCCCATCTCGCGACACTTTAACTCCCAACCTCTCCCCACCCAACCTCTTCACTGACTGAGCTAAGGAGGCCGAGTTACCTCCTGCAACTGCTCTGCTCGAGGAACAAGGTTATTTGGGTGAGAAGGTAACAGAAAAGGGAAATTGTGAAGAGTTACTCCCTAACTGCAATGTAGACTGACCTATGGGGTGTAACAGCAGAGAGAAGTGAGCCATCTCTCCTGGTCTGCTCTTTTCCAGATTGTCTGTGCCACCATTGACAACAACAAGATCATCCTGGACATTGATAACAGCAGGATGGCTGCTGACGACTTTCGTGTGAAGTGAGTGCCCCTCCGTGCAGATGAACCCCACGGCTTCCTCCCTGCTCCTTTGCATCTCATTTGTGGAGACTCAGGGCAGTAATTACAGAGAACTCAGTCTCGCTACAACCCCACATTAGGACAGGAGGACTGATGAAAGGCATTTTGCTCTTGGTCACCAGCCCTCCCTTAATTGGTATTCTTGGGTAAAACATTTGGCAACAGTGCCCGCTGGTGAGGGCTGGGGACCCACACTGCAGGGAGTGCCCTTAGTGGTATAGTTGGAGCATTTCCATCACAGACCAGCACAGATTGGGATCAGCAAAACAGAAACGCAGCTGAGTAAGTGATACCAAATATAGAGTCACCAGGAGCAGGGCAAAAATAGATGAGGAAGAAAAGCTTTCACACAGCAGACATGAAGTGCAGTGCTGGGATCCAAGGCAGAGCGTGTTCAGCTCAGACAACAAGATACGCTTTGGAGCAGGTAGCTGGGAGAAGAAATCTTTGCCCAAACTGAGCAGGTGTGAGTTGTTACTCTTCTGAATTTCTGCTTTCTTGCACAAACCAGGTACGAGACGGAGCTGGCTCTGCGCCAGAGCGTGGAGGCTGACATCAACGGCTTACGCCAGGTCCTGGACCAGCTGACTCTCTGCAGGTCTGACCTGGAGGCACAGCTGGAGTCGCTGCGGGAGGAGCTCTGCTGCCTGAAGAAGAACCACGAGGAGGTAGGGTCCTGCCT